TGATTTTTTTATTCTGGGCCAGCTTTAGCTTTGAGGCTTGGCTCCAGCTCTTAGGCCTCCGCTGCTGAAAGTAGCTTTCTGGCCTTTGTTTACAATGTTGTGATCCTGCTGCCTAAAGCCCGGCGGACTAAACCTGTAACAAATATAGCTTCTATATTTGTTACATAGTTGCTTAGAGTTGCAGCTCGGAGGCCTGCAGCAGCTGGCGGGGAACGTTGGAGTCCTCCATCACTGAAGCAAGCAAGCCTCATGTTAGTTTCAAGCTGCCTGGCTGCCGGCCGCCATCTTGGCTGGCAGTTAATCTGCATATCTCCCTGATTAGCCAATGGGAAGGGTAGCGGGCGTATGCCAATTACCATGTTTCTCTTTTATTAGATAGGATAAACTTACAATTATATAACATATTTAAAAGGCACTACAACTGGATGTCACATGCAGAAGAATAAAGTTAAAACTCTACCTCGCACCATATACAAAAATGAACTCAAACTGTATCACAGACCTAAATGTACGAGCTAAAACTAGAAAACTCTTAGAAGAAAACAAAGGAGTAAATGTTCATGAATTTGGGTTTTGCAACGAATTCTTAGATAAGACACCAAAAGAATGAGCAATTCAAAAATTAAAAAAAAGGTAAATTGGACTTCATCAAAATTAAAAGCTTTTGAGCATAAAAGGACACATCAAGGAAATGAAAAGATAAAGGATTCTTACAACTCAATAACAACAAAATAAACAACTCGATTTAAAACTGAGCAAAGGACTTGAATAGACATTTCTCCAAGGAAGATACACAAATGGCCCAAGTACATGTAGAGATGCTCAATATCATGAGTCATTAGAAAAATGTGAGTCAAAAATGCTGTGAGTTATGACTCTACACCAGCTAATATGGCGATGGTAATAATAATAATAATAACCTGGAAATAACAAGTGCTGATGAGGATGTGGAGAAATTGGAACGCTTCTGCACTGCTAGTGGGAATGTAAAATGGTGCAGCCACATGGAGAACAATTTGGCAGCTCCCTAAAAAGTTAAATATAGAACTACTACCTGACCCAGCAATCCAACTTCTGGGGATATACCCAAAAGAATTGAAAATAGGTATTCAAATACAAACCTGCATACTAGCATACCTGAAAATAGCCAAAAGTTGAAATCAACCCAGATATCCATCCACTGATGGATAAATAAACAAAATACATTATATCCATATAGTGGGATATTATTCAGCTATAAAAAGAGAATAAACCTTAAAAACATGCTACAATATGGATGAGCCTTGAAAACATTATGCTGAGTTCAAAAAGCCAGACTCCAAAGGTCACATATGTATAATTCCACTTATCTGAAAAACCCAGAATATATAGAAAACACACAAAAATACAGGTTATGGTGGTTGCCAGGGGTGGAATGAGAATGAGGAATGGCTGTTTACTGACTCAGGGCTTCCTTGTGGGGCGATGGAATGCTCTGGAGCCAGATCGTGGGGGTGGTGGCACTGCCCTGATTGTACACTTTACAGAGTTAAAATGCCAAATTTAATGTTATGTAAATTTTACCTCAGTAATAGGTTACTAAACACTCAAAGCTCATCACTTACTAATTATTTTATTACATCTTGCCATTCTCAATGCTCTTGAGGTTACTTACATTGATTGTATCATTATAATGGAAATGCCATCCAATGGTGTGGTATTTCTCCCCAACTTTGGATTCTGAAATGTTGTGTTCATAGCCTGGAACTGGCCATGGGGGGAGCATTTACACCACAGTAATGGGCATGTGCCACGTGAATCTTCTTTTTCTTTTATCCTGAGACCATTTCTCCCATTCCTCACAAACTCATCTAACATTATAGATCTCACAGTAAGATGCCACCTGCCTCAATGGGAGAGAGAGAGAGAGACCTTATACTTTTTAAAGGAAAGATTTGAAGACACATCTTTAGAGATTAGTAGGTGGCTACTAGAATTCTTCAGCGCTGACATAGTGAAAGACTATGTCTGATCTTGCGGTGCTTTATCCTTGCTATGAGCTGAGGAGTTTCACGATGCTCCCCAAGACCACCAGATCTGAGTTCCTGACCCTCATTGCCCCTCTTGCTGGGGATCCCCTGGACCCTGGTCCCTTGGCTCTGAGAGCAGGTCACTCGGCAGAGCTGGAGGACCAGGTGAAATGACGCCTGTGACAACACCGAGTGCAGTGCCAGGCATGGAACAAGAACTTGACTCACTTGAGTTTTCAAAGATCCTCCATAATCTTTTGAACTATTAATACGCGATTGCTCCCCCACCCAATCATGCCTCCGACCCCCTTGCTCATCCCCCAGAAGTCAGTGCAGCAGGCTCCCTTAGGGCTCCGGGAAGGGGTGCAGTCTAAGGTTAGGTTCCCAAGTAAAGGGTGTCATTACCAGGACCTTATTTGGGAGGTGACCCCAGGAAACAGCTGCAGGGGGTGGGAAAGTGGGGTGACGGAGCTGTGAAGCAAGTCCCACCGTGGCAGCTGGAGCTTCATGGGGGTTCACGCCGAGATCATGCAGACACACATCTCAGTTACCCCACCCGTGGCAAGGGGAGCCGGCACGGTTTGAGGCCCACTGCCCGCAGGTCCAGCTGGCCGAGTGGACACACCACGCCAGCCTGGTGGCCCCAGAAAGCCACATGCTGCTCGCAGCGGCCTCCAGATGGTACGTGCGGAGAGAGATCAATCAGTGCTGAGCTGCTGTGGCCGAAACGGGGTAGAGCCTTCTGGATCCCAGAGCCTAAACCCCCGGAGGAGATCGGAGGGCGAGCAGTTCTCCCGTCCTCATGAGCTGGGGGGAGACGAACGGTCAGGACGGGAGGGAGAGGACCCTCAACTTCTGCTTCAGAGGGGAGTTGGGTACAGGGGTGACCTGGACCCTGTTCCCGGGGCAACTGGGGAAACCCCCGGCCACAGAGCAGCCACGGCCACAGCACGTGTCCCGCTGGGAGCGACGGATGGTCTCGGCACCCGGGGCTGGCAGCCCAGCATGACCTCCACGGCTGGGGCCAGGGAAAGGGTCGGACAGAGGGCGACCAGCTCGCGGGGACCTCGGTGTGGGCCTGCGTGGGGTGCTGAGGCCTGAGCCCACGTGCCCCAAATGAGCCAAGCCTTGGGGCGGGGGGGAGAGGGGCGGGGGGGGAACCCAGCCTGAGCGCCCGGGGGGGGGG